GTGGGTGCTGGGAATTGAACTCAGGACCTCTGGAAGAGCAGCCAGTGCTCTTAACCTCTGAGTCATCTCTTTAGCCTCCCTTACCAGCATTTGTAATTGAGTTTTTTGTTTTGTTTTGTTCTGTTTTGACACAGGGTTTCTGTATAGCCCTGGCTGTCCTGGAACTCATTCTCTAGACCAGGTTGCCCTCGAACTCACAGAGATCTACCTGCCTCTGTACCTCCCAAGTGCTGGGATTAAAGGCATCTGCCACCATGCCTGGCTGCAATGATTTTGTTTTTCGTTTTTTCTATAATAGTCTTTCAAACTGGGGTGAGATGACATTTCCTTGTACTTTGAATTTGGCATTTCCCTTGCAATGTGATTGAGCATTTTGTTTTTCACATATCTGTTGGCCTTGAGCTTGAAGAAATCCACCTGCCTCTACCTCCTGAGTGGTGGGATTAAAAACCTGGCCACCACACAGATCATTTTTTTTTTTTGCCTATGAAAGAATTTACAAGGAATTTATAAGAGAATGAAACTCGACGCCCTGGCTTGGGGTAGGGGTGCACCTGCTCCACACCCGCGTCTCCAGGAGTGGCAAGCCAGCCAAGCTTGTGAATACCAGAGCCCCACCTGGCCATGCCCTGGTGGGGTCAGGATGGTGTCTGTGGCACGTGTTTCTACTTAGGGCCAAGCAAATGACCCTGGTCTGTGTTGCAGCCTGGGGCCATTTGGAGGCCTATGGGCAGGGGCTGACCACCATGAGGTTTGGGTCCTCACTGCCACTGAGGGCCTTGTCTGGGTCTGAGGCCCTGCTGCAGCTGTGGTCTGTGTTGATATCCATACTCAGGGTTTTCACCAGGGGCCATGCAGATGTCCGTGATCTGTGGTGCAGCCTGAAGCCATTTCTATGTCTGTAGGCTATGTTGCAGGGCAACTCTTAGTAAGGAAAACATTTAGTTGGAACTGGCTTATAGTTCAGAGGTTTAGTCCATTATCATCATGGTGTGAAGCATGGCAGCATGCAGGCAGACACGGTGCTGTAGAGGTAGCTGGTAATTCTACATCTTGATCCGCAGGCAACAGGAAGTGACCTGTCTACCACACTGGGCATAGCTTGAGCATAATAGACCTCCAAGCCCACCCCCACAGTGACACACTTCCTCCAACAAGGCCACACCTACTCCAACCAGGCCATACCTCCTAATAGTGCCACCCCTATGGGAAAACACATGAGTCTATGGGGACCATACCTATTCAAACCACCATATGCAGCTTCCGGGAGGTAGCCACCCAGTAAGTGGAACTTTGCTGTGATGCACTTGTTTCGGAATCATTCACTCTCCTGTAACTAAGCCCTCACCCATGCTCTGTAAGTAAGCCCAACAAACTCACTGGTCTCCCCAAATTGGACTTTGGGGAAATCATAGTTTAGTTCATCATTGGTGCCCATCTGGGGTTATTGGATGCTTTTTTAAGTCTCCCCAGAAAAAGTGAACGCAACACTCTACGAAGTTGTCCTCTAACTTCCATACACACAGCCACACAATTAAAAACGTTTTCCCCTGACTAGAGATGTAGTTCATAGAAGAGTACTTGCTGCGCATTCCGAAGGCTCTGGCTCCAACCACAGCACTGTGAGAAATAAAATAAAAAGACACCAAATATATGAAAATGTTATAGGAGGCTATTTTAGCATATCTGTATGCTAAATTTTAAAAAGTTAATAAAAAGTAAGACTAGACATGGCAGTGTATGCCTTTAATCCCAGCACTCGGGAGGCAGAGGCAGATGGATCTCTGTGAGTTTGAGGCCAGCCTGGGCTACAGAGTGAGTTCCAGGACAGCTATGACTGTTACACAGAGAAACCCTGTCTTGAAAAATAAAAAAATGTGGATGTAGGAGCATGTGTGATCCCAGTGCTGCGGAGGCAGACAGGAGGATTCTTGAGGCCAGCTGGCCAGCTAGTCCAACCTCACTGAGAGACCAAGCCAGTGAGAGACCCTGTGTAAAAGGAGGTCGATGATGTTCCTGAGGATGATACCTGTGGCTTCTACACATATGTGCACCCATTAAAATATAACAAAAAACAAGTCATTTATAAAAATTAAAAATACACAACAAATGCTCAGGGACACCATGTCATAGGGGATACCATGTCATAGGGGATACCATATCATGAGCCACCTGTGGCTCAAGAATGCAGGTATTTCACACACTGGGTCAGACGCCAAACAAGTGGACAAAGCTCTTAAACATCCGGGCCTGCTTTGAGAAACTGCACTATCATTATTTAAGTTCCTAACATGAAAGATTGAATGAGCCGGGTATGGTGGCGCAGGCCTTTAATTCCAGCACTTGGGAGGCAGAGGCAGGCAGATCCTCTGTGAGTTCGAGGCCAGCCTGGGCTACAGAGTGAGATCCAGGACAGGCGCAAAGCTACACAGAGAAACCCTGTCTCAAAAAAAAAAAAAAAAAAAAAAAAAAGGCATGCGCCACCACCACCTGGCTTTGTTATTGTTTTTAATTATGTGTGTGGGCATGTGCACGTGAGTATAGATGCCTTAGGAGACCAGGGGCATTGGATCCTCTGGAGCTGGAGTTAACAGGCAGTTGTGAGCCACACAACATGGATGCTAGGAATTGAACTTGGGCCCTCTGCAAGAACAGCACATGCTGTTAACTGTTCAGCCACCCCTTCAGTCCTGATTTTTAAATTTTTGATGAAGAAATGATGACCAGAAGACATTGAAATTAATTTGTTAAATATAAGCCAGGCGGTGTTAGCGCACACCTTTAATTCCAGCACTTGGGAGGCAGAGGCACGTGGATCTCAGTGAGACCGAGGCCAGCCTGGTCTACAAAGACAGTTCCAGGACAGCCAGAGCTAAGCAGAGACACCCTGTCTCAAAAAACAAAAATAAAAAAAACCCCACAAATATAATACACCTTGTTTGGAAGCACAGAGAACAATGTTAAGTCTCTGTAGCAGTCAGAAATTGTCATAGTTATGGTTTCTATTGCTGTGAAGAGACACCATGACCATGGCAACTCTAATAAGGAAAACATTTAACTGGGGGGGGCTCACTTACAGTTTCAGAGGTTCAGTCCGTTATCATCATGGCAGGGAGCACGGCAGCATGCAGGCAGACATGGTGCTGGCTACATCTTGATCAGAAGACAATAAGAAGTAGACTCGGGTTGGGGATTTAGCTCAGTGGTAGAGCGCTTGCCTAGCAAGCACATAGGCCCTGGGTTCGATCCTCAGCTCTGGAAAAAAAAAAAGTATACTCAATGTCACACTGAGAGAAACTTGAGCAAAAACTTGATCTCAAATCCTGTCCCCACGATGCCTCATTTCCTCCAACAAGGCCCCGCCTACTTCAACAAGGCCACACCTCCTAAATGCCACTCCCTTTGGGGGCCATTTTTTTCGAATCACCACAGAAATTAAATTCAATTTTAAGAAAAGAGAGGCCCATAGGAGGCTGGGGCTGAAGGATTGTTCAAGGCCATGCTGGTCTACCAAATAAATTCCAGAGCAGCCTCAAAACAACTGACATGGGGTGAGGGAAGCCGGAGAGACGGTTCAACGGTTAAAGAGCACTGGTTGGTTGTTCTTGCAGAAGACCCAGGTTGGATTCTGAGCAGCCATATGTTGGCTCTGTCTGAGTCTGTTAACTCCAGTTCCAGTGGCTCCCACACTGTCTTCTGGCCTGTGCTGGGATGGCACACCTGTGGTGTGTAGACATGCCTGCTGACAAACACCTATCCACATAAAATAAATGATTCTAAAATACAAGAAAAAACGGGAAGGGGGGTGCTGGTGACATGGTTCAGTGGGGAACGTGCTTGCCACCCAGCCTGACAACATGAATTTGATCCCCAGGACCCACATTGTAGAGGGAGAGAGCCAGCAAGTTGCCCTCTGTACACACACACACACACACACACACACACACACACACACACACACACACACACAAATAGATAGATAAGTAAGTAAATAAATAAATAAATGTAATAAAAATTAAAAGAAGAGGACATCTAAGGGCAAAGACCCCTACATAAATACCTTAAGAATTTTCAGCCGGGCGGTGTGGCGCACACCTTTAATCCCAGCACTCAGGAGGCAGAGGCAGGCGGATCTCTGTGAGTTCGAGGCCAGCCTATCTCGAAAAATCAAAAAAAAAAAAAATTTCATATCCAGGGACAAAGACACACCAATATACCAGAGATCTAACTTAAAAAAAAAAAGAAGACCTAAACTTAAAAAAAAAGTTAATTAGCCTTGCAAAAAGCCACTTGAAGTCTTTAGTATTTAGCTTGCTTGTATGTCTGTGTACCATGTATATGTATGGAGACCAGAAGAAGATGTCGGATACCCTGGGCTGGAGCTATAGCTGGTTGTGAGGCTCCCTGTGAGTTCTGGGAACTGCACCTGGGTCCCCTGCAATAGCAGGCTGAGTCACTGCTAGCCCCAAAGGTCTAAAGTTTGAAGACACTAACAGATTGTCCAGATTTTAAACCCTGAACTGACCTTTCATATTGATCCCATCTAGGGGGGCAGGAATGGCTTTGTTTTCTCTGCCAGTTACAGAATTAAAAGGCAGGAAAGAAATGTTACCAGAAACCTTGGAGAGTCCCAGCAGAGCCATTTTACGATGCCATCATATGATAACAGGGAACTCAGGGTCCCTTATGGACTTCTCAGTCTCATTAATAAAACAATTAAGAAAGGACTCGGGGTTGGAAAGATGACTCAGCAGTTAAGAGCACTGGCTGCTCTTCTAAAGGACCTGGGTTCGATTCTCAGCACCCACCTGGTGGCTTCCAACCATCTGTAACTCCAGGTTGAGGATCTGACACCCTCTTCTGGCCTCTTGGAGCACAGCATGCACATATGTGTTCCACTTACACATACACTCAGAGCTGGGAGTGCTGCGACCCGCGCAGCTGGAGCACGAAATCTGACCAGGGACGCCGAGGTTAAACAGCACTCAGGACACCCAGTCTCCGTTCATCAGGGAAGCAGCTCTCTTTATTCGTACCAACATGAGCTTATATACCCCTCTAACAGCAGGGGTCAAGGAATGGTTACTCTGTATCCGGAGGCAAGCCGGACACTGTTTACCAAACAGGAAAAACCACAGGGTGGAACTGATCCCCAGCACTTTGAAGAACCCAACTGCACATTTTCACACAAACAACTTAACTGGGACAGGACAAAAAAGGGCATTTAAAATTAAGGCAGCAAACTTACTGCTGCTGACATGTCCTCCCTTTTTATTTTCAAAAGGAACACATTGGCTAGAACAGCCTGTGGAAGATCAGATAGCCCCTGCCTTAGGTCACCTGCTGCAATCCCCAAACTTACCCGTCATAGGGGGCTGCCCTTATGCCCCCTGCCTTAGGTCGCATGAGGACTACAGGAGTTGCCTGTCTCTGGGTACTATCTGTCCAACATTTGTAATCATACTTGTGCAGATTCAGAGGGTGACATGGCCAGAAGGGCTTGCTTGGTTACCTGTTGGTGTCGAGTGGACTGGCGTTGCCATTGGCATAGCAGAAATAACCCAATTCCCATACCGCCTGCACAGATTAATAAGAGGGAAACAGACCCTGCCCATTTAGTAATCTACCCAGTAGCTTTAGACATTAATGACCACCAGGTCTGCTTATTTACAGGAACAACTCTAGTTTCATTAATCCTTACAATAGCGTGTGCTAACTGAATTGTATAGTTCAAAAATGTTCCATTCCAAGGCCCTCACAAACAAGCATTCAATTCTGCAACCTTGGCCAATGCATTAAAAGCTGCATGAGGGGTTATACAAACTTCTGACATTCCATAAGCACATAACATATGTTGGTGTATCCACAACATATCTATTTGTTCTTGTACCAGTGCTGCTTGCTGATTAAGCATCAGAATTCCAAAGTGTAATTGTCCATTTAATGTTTGCTGAATGTCCAAGGCACCAGCCACCCTCTCAGATAATGTGTTGATAACGGCAGCCTGTTGAACAGTCTGAGATAATGCAAGCCAAGCAGCTGTAGCAGCAACAGCAGATGCAGCCACAGCTGCAACAATTGCGGCAGTAATGCCCAAGTCTCTTCTTGTCCTCTTCAATTGCAGCGGAGACTGATCAGAAGGACTCTCCAGAGGCATCACTGCAAATGCAGGTATTCTCACAATCACTGCATGGGACCAATTTGCACTCCAGCAATTACTCAAGCTACAATTCAGAACTGAATAGTTTAGTAGTCCCTCCCCTCCCACATCACCATTCCAAACAACAAAAGGGAAAGGAGCACTTACACAGGGCATGGAAATAATAGGGAAAGCATGTGTAGAATTAATATTGATGGATTCTTCAAAACTAGATGATGCATTCCAAAAAGCAGTTCCATTAAAAGCCGTACTATTGCTACTCAGGACTAGGCAATCATGAAAGCTGCCTTTCAGATTCAAGGAGATATCATTGGTATTATTGTTGCCAGCTGTCTTGGAGTTTTACATTGCTGGCAGCAGTACCAATTGTCCAATTAGAAGAAAATACAGCAGGAAAAACAGGGCTATCAATACTCACAGGCAGTAACACAGGTGGATTTCTTACTAAACTCCATAATGGCTCAGCTTCTCCCTGAGGCATCATCATGAGCATCATCATCAGCCACAGTATCCACAGATGCATTTTTATCAATCTCTTCTGCCAGGCATATACACCTTTCTGGGAGCCAAATGGGCTTTTCAGCACCTGGAGGATAAACACACAGCTCCCCTCACTCTGGCCAACATAGGCTGCCAGGTACGGGTGGCTAAATCCTTCCATCGCACCTTAGCATCAGAGACAGAGGGGCCACCAAAATGCCTCTGAGCTGCTGAAACTCCCTTGCTATCAACAAGCAAAAAATTTAAAGTAAAAAGTGTAATGGAGCCGGGCGGTGGTGGCGCATGCCTTTAATCCCAGCACTCGGGAGGCTGAGGCAGGCGGATCTCTGTGAGTTCGAGGCCAGCCTGGTCTACAGAGTGAGTTCCAGGAAAGGCCCAAAGCTACACAGGGAAACCCTGTCTCGAAAAACCAAAAAAAAAAAAAGTGTAATGGAAAGTAAAGCTTGAGGTCCTTGTATATCCCTATACATCTCACCCTCTTTTATTTTTTGCAAATAAGTTTTAAGATGTTGATGAGCCCTTTCCACATGGCTTGCCCCTGGGGATTATAAGGAATGCCAGTCTTATGAATAATATTCCACTGTTTACAAAATCCTGCGAAGCTGACACTGGTATACGTAGGACCATTATCTGTTTTTATATGCTGAGGAACCCCCATATAGGAAAAGGCTGAAATTAGATGTTTTTTAACATCTTGAGCACGCTCTCCTTTATGCAGAGAGGCAAATATTAAATGAGAAAAGGTATCCATTGACACGTGCACATAGGCCAATGGTCCAAAGCTAGAAATATGAGTAACATCGGTCTGCCAAATCTCATTTGGGATAAGTCCTCGAGGGTTGACACCCAGAGAAGGCACATGAATAAATGGTGCACATAAAGCCTCAAGTCTAGAACAACTAGTACGATGTTGCAAGGTCTGAGCATTAACATGAAATTTATGATGCAATTGCAGAGCATTATCATAGGCGGTAACATCGGGGAAACAATTGAACATTCATGGCACCCAATTGTACCTCCCATTGAGTATAATGATCTGCCAATTTATTGCCTTCAGCTAGTGGACCAGGCAACTCTGTATGTCCTCTAAGATGCCCAACAAGCCGGGCGGTGGTGGCGCACGCCTTTAATCCCAGCACTCGGGAGGCAGAGCCAGGCGGATCTCTGTGAGTTCGAGGCCAGCCTGGACTACCAAGTGAGTTCCAGGAAAGGCGCAAAGCTACACAGAGAAACCCTGTCTCAAAAAACCAAAAAAAAAAAAAAAAAAAAAAAAAAGATGCCCAACAAACACAGGATGCTTCCCTGCCCAGATTAATAGTTGAACCTGTTGAAGCTGGCTTTGCACAGCAGAGGGTCGGCCTATGTATGGGGCAGTTTCTATAACCATAATGGCCTTAGCTACATAACAGCTATCAGTATAGATATTAAGGTCTTCTGTAGGAAACATTTGAAGAGCTAGCTGTAAGGCAAACAACTCTGCTTGCTGAGCAGACATATTGGAAGTAGATACTCGTCCAATAATGTTCTCACTAACCACCACTGCATATCCATTCCCAGAGGCATCCGTAAAGACAGTCCTTGCATTATTAAGAGGGCTTTGTTTTACTACCCTGGGAAAAATAAATGAACAAACCTTAAAACTTTCAATAAGTTTATGCTTAGGATAATGATTATCTATCTGGCCATAAAAGGTACAGAGAAACAAACACCAAGATTCATGTTCCTTTTGCAAAGTATCTAACATTTCCTGTACATAAGGCAATACAAGATTGTCAAACACCTTTCCAAAGGTGGCCAAACTGAGTTCCTTAGCTTTCCACAATAATTGAATAACCAATTCATAGTAAGGATTCAATACCTTAGTAGGTGAAGCAGACAGATGAACCCAATAAATAGGCCCAGTCTGAGCCGGGCGGTGGTGGCGCACGCCTTTAATCCCAGCACTCGGGAGGCAGAGCCAGGCGGATCTCTGTGAGTTCGAGGCCAGCCTGGGCTACCAAGTGAGTTCCAGGACAGGCGCAAAGCTACACAGAGAAACCCTGTCTCGAAAAACCAAAAAAAAAAAAAAAAAAAAAAAAAAAAAAAAAAATAGGCCCAGTCTGCCAAAACACTCCAGTGGGAGAAAATTTGGAAGGCAAGACTAATAATTGTAAAGGCCGACCATAATCTATCTGCTGAACATGTAAATCTAATAAAGCCTGTTCTACCTGAGCCAATGCTGCTTTTGCTTCTGGGGTTAATTCCCGTAATGATGTAGGTGAAGAATCTCCTTTAAGAATATCATAGAGAGACTTTAGATCTCCGGTAGTTATCTGAAATGTAAGTCTAAGCCATTGAATTTCTCCTAAAAATTGCTGCCATTGATGCAAGGTAATTTGTAATTCTGCAATTTTCAATTGTAACTTTTGAGGAGCGATACCTACTTGCTGAATAGTATAACCAAGATACTGATATGGTATTTTCTGTTGCACCTTCTCAGGTGCTATAACTAGTCCAGCATTGGCAAGTGCCTGTTGTAAATCTGCATAGGTTTGCAGCATTTGTTCTTGTGTGCATGCAGCCAGTAAAATACCATCCACATAATGTATGATATATGTCTCTGGATATTTGTTCCTTATGGGAGATAAGGCTTCTGCAACATACATTTGACACATACTAGGACTGTAAGCCAACTGCTTAATAACGGGCATAGCCTGATCAGAGTCCCCAAATATCTTTCCAGCTAGTTGTAACAAGCGTGAGACAAAGTCAGCATATGGCTCAGAAGGGCCCTGCAGCACTTTTGATATCTGTTCTCCTGCAGCTACATTAGGTAGTGATTTCCAGGCTTGCACTGCGGCAGCAGCTATTTGAGCATAGGTACTGGGATCATATAAAATCTGTTGTTGAAGGTTAGCATACTGTCCTGATCCCGTGAGCATGTCATAATTTCTCTGGGGTTGTCCCAGAGAAATTCATGCAAGCCAGTTCTAAGCATTTCTCATGATTTTCACTTTTCCATAGTAAATAATCACCCCCAGATAACACAGCTCGGCACAATTGCTGTCAATCACTTGGCGTCAAACGATTAGCGGAAAATGATTCAAAACAGCGTCACAGTGAATGGAGCCTGTGGCCCATAACTGCTCACTGCCTCCTTCAACTGCTTCATCTCCTTGAAAGTTAAAGGAACATGCTCCCAGACCACCTGTCCAGCTTGATTCTGAGTTTCAATTACTGGATATGTTTCATGCACCCCCCCTTTTTTTTTTGGCCTATATCTGTCCTCTGATTCTTTTTCCTCCCCTATCCAATGAGGATTTCTTGGCGGGGGTCGAGACACTAGAGGAGCAGAAGGTGCTCACTGTGCTTTCACTTTTGCACGGTGCAATTCCTGCTGTAGTTCCTCTGTCTCTTTTTCTAGCTGCTCTTCCTCCTCTACTAAATCTGAGACAGAGGCAAGATCATCGTCGTCTTCCTCATCCATTAAATCTTTCACAAATATCCTTATACGCTCTTTACAGGGGACCTCGACCTCTTCCTTTTCCCTTTTCAAAGATTCATTCATCTCCGCCTCCTGAGCGTTAGCAAATGCTTGCTCGCACTCCGAAAGTTACTCTTTCACTTTCACTTTATCAGTCAGAAGAGCATCTTTCTCAAGTCTCCATAGAGAAAATGCAGCTATAGGAAATTTATCTGAGCCTTTCTCTTGCAACATCTTTTGTAAATCTCTTTTTACTTGCTCCCAATCTGGAATATTCAGACCTCCTCCCGTCAGAAACCAAGGACTTGCTTCAGCTACAGTGTCCACAAATGTGAGTGCGGTGCTAGACTTAATTCCTGTTCCTTGCTTACTTCCTTGCTTACTTAACAATTCCCTTAACTCAGTGGCCAACTGAGCTTTTGCAGTAGAATTACCCGTGGTACGTACCAATGTTTCAATCCTCCACCCGTCCTTTTAGGGTGAGCCTCGTTCGCTTACCCCTCTTTCCAGGTCTCGGTGAGACCTCCACTTGCTGCGACCCCTCCACTTGCTGCGACCCGCGCAGCTGGAGCACGAAATCTGGCGAGGGACGCCGAGGTTAAACAGCACTCAGGACACCCAGTCTCCGTTCATCAGGGAAGCAGCTCTCTTTATTCACACAAACATGGCCTTATATACCCCTCTAACAGCAGGGGTCAAGGAACGGTTACTCTGTATCCGGAGGCAAGCCGGACACTGTTTTCCAAACAGGAAAAACCACAGGGGAACTGATCCCCAGCACCTTCAAGAACCCAACTGCACATTTTCACACAAACAACTTACGCAAACACAGCATAACTAAGATGGGACAAAAAAGGGTGTTTAAGATTAAGGCAGCAAACGTACTGCTGCCGACATGGAAGAAGAGCTTCAGGAAAAGAGCAAGGAAGCCGAAAGCATAAGGTAAAGGAGTCTACAAACAAATTTGGACTGCAGCCAGCACCCAAAAGAAAAAGAAACAGTTAATACCAAAGGCAGGCCAACTCAGCTGAACGTCATGGTGGAACATGGGACTAAGGGATGGGAATTCTAGGGAGGAAAAGTACACAATCCTAAAGTGAACCTTCCTTCCTAGGGATGGTATCTTAGCCAGGTCCCTGACCTGTCCCACTAGTTAATGAACCCTTAAGAGAGGAGACAAGGGCCCATCCCCACCTGGAGATAGATTCTAGCCTTTCCAACATCCTGAACACAGTCCTCCAAATTACACTGACAGCGTACTAATTACCTTATGAGTTGATTTGACTACTACTTTCCTCTTAGTCAAACACCCCACACTCAAATCTGATCATTCAATACTGCAATCTTGGGCTGGAGAGATGACTCTGTGGTTAAGAGCACTGGTTGCTCTTCCAGAGGACTGGGGCTCGATTCCCAGCACCCACATGGTGGCCCATAACCACCTGTAACTCCAGTCCCAGGGGATTCAGTGCCTTCCTGTGGCCTCCCAGGGCACCAGGTACACTGCAGACAAAAGAGCTACACACATAAAATGCATAAATAATTGGAAAAGTGTAGTCTTGGGCAAGTGAAGTGGGTCAGGGAAAAGGCTTGTTGTGCAAGCTGGACCTGAGTTTGATGTCAGTGAAAGGAGAAAACCGACTCTCAAAAGTTGTTCTCTGCTGGGCGGTGGTAGTGCTCACCTTTAATCCCAGCACTCAGGAGGCAGAAGCAGGTGGATCTCTGTAAGTTCAAGGCCAGCCTGGTCTACAGAGCGAGATCCAGGACAGTCAGGGCTACACAAAGAAACCCTGTCCTGAACAATGCCCCCCTAAAGAAATACATGAGCCACCATGTCCAGCCTGAGAGTTTTCTTAATAATGTTGAGAATGGTGTGTCTGAAATACAATACACTTTATTTAAAATGAAAGGACACCGATAGAATGAAAAAGATTACCGGATACACTGTGTACCAAATCTTGAGTATAAGTCAGTAACACCAGCTTCAACAGGGCTGCAAATTGGACTTGCTAGACGGGATTCGAACCTACTTTTACCAATAGCAACGAAAGCACTGGATCTGAAACACTGCTAACCCTAGAGCTTCTGCGCAGGTGTGGAACCAGTAGCCAATAGGAGCATGAGCTGGAGGTCTTAGCCACTTAGAGTGCCAGAAAATTTCGGTACCTAGGTAGAGTTTGGGATAGGTAATCTCAGGGTGGCGAATGAGAACTCCCAGATCTGTTTGTTCCCACCCTGCGAAAAAAAAGTCCAAGCAGAGGTTCCCTGGTGAGTGTCTATGAGGTCATGGGGACAGCGATTTCCCGGCAGCTCGAGGCTCTAGGCAGATGGAAGTCCGTGGCACATCACGAGCTTGTCACTGACGTCATTCCCACCCACACGCTTTCTTGGTGCGTGTTGGCTAGAAATGGCTGGGCAGTATCATGTGAATCATTTTGTTTATGATTCGAACACAAACTGTCGTGTAATCGTCACGCTCGTCCCACCCCTGCCTTCAACGGACTGCCCCAACAGCTTGAGATCATCTTTTTTTGCGGGGAGGGGGGCGGTTAAGAAAGTCTTCTGGTATGTCCAGAGTGGCCTCAAACTCTTAATCCCCTTCCTCCACTTTCTGGTTATTGGGATTACAAGGCATGCACCACCACATCTGTCCACCAGGTGGCTCTTGAGAACATCCAACACCTTGAGGCTGATTCCTTCCTAGAAACAGGCTTTCACTCCTGAGGATACTGATGAAAATGTGCATTTTAAAATAATAATTAATCTTTTTTTTTACCCATGTAGTATTCTGTGCAGTTGCTTTGTAATTTGGTTTCTCTTTTCCTTGATGAGGACTGAAGGTGAAGATCTCTCACATATTTATTAGAGATGCTCTTCTGTGGTGTGCTTGTTCCAATTCTTTGCTCTCTTGTCTACTGGTTGCAAAAGAATTTTAACAAGCACTTAATTAGCCTGGCAGAGTGGTGCACATCTGTAATCCTAGCACTCAGGAGGTTGAGGCAGGAGCAGGAAGACCAAGGCCAGCCTTAAAACAAGGACTGGGATGGAGTTCAGTTGGTAGAATGCGTGCCTAGTGAGCAGGAAGCCCTGAGTTTGATACCCAGCACCTCATAAAACTGGGTATGGTGCTGCATCCACCCTGGGCTGCTGCATAGAACTCTGTCTCAAAAATAAAAACTAATGGAGAGCCAGGAGGTGCTGCATGCTTGTGATTCCAGCATTTGGGAGGCCGAGGTACAAGTCTAGCCTGGAATACACAGAAAGGCCCAGTGTAAAAAACAAAACAGTTGGTGTGGTGGCACATGCCTTTAATCCCAGCACTTGGAAGACAGACGTATGTCAGCCTCGTCTACATAGTGAATTCCAGGCTAGCTAGAGCTGCATAGCAAGACTCTGTCTGTCTGAAGAGAGAGAGAGAGAGAGAGAGAGAGAGAGAGAGAGAGAGAGAGAGAGAGAGAGAGAGAGAGAGAGAGAGAGAGAGAGAGACTGAGACTTAATACTGGCTAATTATCCACAAACCAGGTGGTGGTGGATCTTTGTGAGTTTGGGGCCAGCCTGGTCTACAGAGCAAGATCCAGGACAGGTGCAAAGTTACACAGAGAAACCCTGTCTCAAAAAACCAAAAGAAAGAAAAAGAAAAAGAAAAAACAAAACCACCACAACAAAAAGGAACTCAGGGTCATCCTCTCCAAAAGAGCAAGTTTAGGGGTTGGGGATTTAGCTCAGTGGTAGAGCGCTTGCCTAGCAAGCGCAAAGCCATGGGTTCGATCCTCAGCTCAAAAAAAAAAAAAAAAAGCAAGTTTAAAGTTAGCCTTGGCTACATGAAACCTTGTCTCAAAAAAAGAAAAAAAAATCTAACAAAGGGCTAGAGAAGGGACTCAGGAGTTGAGAGCACTGGCTTTGTGGGCACCAGGAACACACATGGTCCACAGACATACATGCAGCCAAAACACCTAGACACATTTAAAAAAAGACCCTAGGAAAAAATGCTTTGCCGGACATGGTGGTGCACGCCTTTAATCCCAGCACTCGGGAGGCAGAGCCAGGCGGATCTCTGTGAGTTCGAGGCCAGCCTGGGATACAGAGTGAGATCCAGGAAAGGCAGGGCTACACAGTAAGACCCTCCATTTCAAAAACAAGCAAACAACCCCCCTAAAACAATGGAGCCATGTTCATAGTAATGAGAATTTTCAAATAAAGCATGTGTTAACTCCAGCTTTCACATACGAGAAAGAGCATGTGGTACTTGTCTTTCTTTACTTGGCACAATGGCCTCCAGTTCCATCCATTTTGCTGCCAATGACATGATTTCTTTATATTTCTTTATAGCTGAACAGTATTCCATTTTGTTCTCTTCATAGCCGAATAGCACATTAATAGTGTCATAATAAACACGTGCAAATCATATGTTAATGAAAAATGAATTTTTGGCAGTGCAAGGAATTGGACATATGCTAGGCATGCTCCCTCCCCTCGTCCACAACACTGTATAGTGTATCTAAAGTTCACAATATATCCCATAAAGTGGTATTTTGTTTCTTTTTAAGACAGACTCTGTGATCCAGGCTATCCAGTTTAGAATTCTCTCTAAATATCACAGGCTGCCCTCCAATTCATGACCCCCCTGCCTCAGCCTCCTTCTGGCCTCCACAGGTGCCAGATATGCATGTACTGTACAGACATACATGTAGGCAAAACACTCAAAGTTCAATATCTGGAACTATCATCTGGATGGGTCCTAAATGGAATCATAATTATTCCTTTTGTTTTATTATGTCTTATTATGCATGTGTCTGGGGGTGACACCTAGGGCCTTGAGTATGCTAGGCAAGCACTCTAGCACTGAGGTTCAGAGCTAGCCCTTCTTTTTTTTTTAATTTTAAAATTTATTATTATTTTATGTACATAAGCGTTTGCCTGCATGTATGTGTGTGCACCACATATTATGCTACATACATGCTTACAGAACTCAGAAGAGGGCATTGGATCCCCTGGACTGGAGTTATAGACAACTGTGAGCAGCCATGTGGGTGCTAGGAACTGAACTCAGGTCCTCTGCAAGAACAGCAAGTTCTCTTAACCACTGAGCCGCCTCTCCATCCTCCACTCCACCCTCAAAACCCAGTGTTCTTATAAGAGGAAGGTAGAGTGAGACCTGATACAGACAGAGCACTAGAAGACACACCCAGAGAAGGCAGTGAGACCAAGGAGACACTAGGGAGGGCCACACACCAAGGAAGGCTGGCAGCCATCAGAAGCTGGAAGCAGGGAATTAAGTCTCCTGTAAAGCCCAGGGAACGGCGGTCCGGCTATCTGCCTTTTGCGGCCCCTTTCCACCCTCCCCCAACCACTAACTGGGAGAGAACAGCTTCCTGATGTTTTCCCAGTACCATCTGGCACCAATCTGTGCACACAGTAGTGTCAATAAATAATGTTTAAACAGGAAGAAGCCAGGCATGGTGCTGTACACCTGAAGCCGCAGCTATTTGAGAGGCTGAGTCAGAAGCATCACTTGTGTCCAGGATCCTCTTGAGTACCTGAATGGGAGTCGACTACGCGCATTAGGTTTTCAGGCAGAGCGGCCTCAAGCCGGTGGTTGATACGGGGCTCGGCCTGCAGGGGGCAGTAAAAGCATAGACAGGAGCCGGGAAGGCCACTTTCTCCTCCACGACAGGCAGGGTGGGATTTCTA